GTAAAAAGCACAAGTGATTAGGTATTTTGTTCACCAGTAGTGGGATTAGGATTATGTTTGGAGACACGAGCCTCTCCATAACTATGTTCTAATCTGAGGAGTTGGTGTAAGCAATGACTACGGGTGGGTGAGTCAAGAACAGTCTCTGACACAATAGCTGGTTACATTTCTGTTCACGCAGCCAAAGACTGCATTAGTTGTTTTGACAACTGTGTGATTGTGTTAACTCATGTTGAGCTTGCAATCAACCCTAGTGATTCAGTCTTCTTCCAACACACTGATCTTAAGAGTTCTCTACTTCCCTTGTTTGGGCAAGTGAGTTTTGAAACTTAGGAGGAGATCTTTACATTTATCCCTATTAAATTTCAAATTAGAGATTTTGTGAATCAGTATGAGCCAAGAAATATTTTAATTCTGATTCTATTATTGACCATATTGATGGTCTCTTCAATCTTTGAGTCATTTAATCATTATTGCTTATATAAAGGTTAAAAGCACAAGTTGACATTGATACATTAGAAGACTCTGTGGACACAATATTAGCCAACTAAAATGTCTTGTTAAGAAATATCTTTACCAAAAATCTTTCTGATATTTGCATAGGACATCTTCCCCATCAAACCATCAGGAAAGTCCTCTCAAAAAGGTAGAGTTCATCTTGACCTGACTTATCTATACTCATATTAATACGAGGATTCCTTGTGTGGCACTGTAAGATAAGCACTGGACTGCTAACTGCAAAGTCGATGGTTCAAACCCACCAGCCATTCTTCAGAAACCTTATCCAGGGTCACTATGAATTGGAACCAACTTGACAACATTTAACAGCAATGTATTAGTACTGAAGGTCCCAACTTTGTTTTTATTTTAAGTGTCACTGCTTAATCATTTTTATTTTTCAAAATCTTTCCATTCCTGTAACTCTTTGCTGTCATTTCTAGAATTCATACCTATTAGCAAAGTGGAATCACACTTTTCCATTCTCAATCTTCATGTTGCTTCAGACTTAATGACAAGTTTTTAGAGTTCACATATGCAAAATCTCTCAGTTCCTGGAATTTGATGAATCTGAACTTTGTAATTGGATTTTCTTCAAAGCCCCTAACAGCTTTTCCCATCATCCTTTTTTGGGATCTTCAGTTCCCTGTGTAACTTGGAAGTAAAATAGGAGCTGAGGAGTTTGGTTCCCTCTTTGACATCTGCTAACATTACATCATCTGCACCAAGCAGTGACCCTGCCTGTCTTCCTCCTCTGACAGTAACTAACCAGACCTTTGTGTTGTCCCTTGTAATTACTGCAGTCTCAGCTCATCTGGCCTTCAAAGTTTCTCATTCTCTGCCTTTGATCAGTCTGCCTTTTTTCTTGGTCAGGAGCCAAGAATTTGGATTTTTTTCTTAGTCAGAAGCCATGCCATCCATCTTTCACGGCCTCTTCAAAGAGTTCCCAAGGAATACCATTGCCTCTCCATTTTCTTTATCTTTGGAATCTGTGAGTGTGATGTGGCTAGGTTTGTTTCTGAGAATCTCCATCTCTTGTCAGCAATCAACTGTTTTACAGTCTAGGCCTTTTTTACTTGTCTTTTTTGACATCTAACAAAATTAGCTGAAGCAAACTTAAGCAAACATTGACCTTTATAGCAAGGGCCTATGAATATCTCCCAGGTGCTGAGGGAAGGAATTTGGGGGTGGGGGTGGGGGCTTTAGTAAAGGCTGGAAGCAGGAGCTAGCTAGAAAGTCATGGAGTCTCACTCTCTTCTGTCTCCTGTCTCTGCTTTTCACTGGCCTTCCACTTCATTTCTCTGTCGGCATGTTTTCTATATGTTTCTAGGCCTTGTATAGAATATGGTAGAACCATAGGTCCTAGGTTTGACTATCATGGTCCAGCATCCCAACAAGATGAATCTATATTCTCTCAATCCTAAATCCCAATTTCAAGAAGACAAAGTCTAATTGGCACAGCTTGCAGGTGCCTTGCATGGTTCAACTAATCACAATACAAGCAGTGATTAGCTGGCAGTGGCCACAGGGTCTGTCTTCCTACATCTTCAAGTAAAGACAGGAGAGGAACAAATCCTAACAGATGTCTACCCTTTATTTAATTAATTCATTGAAATATTTATCATATGTATAGACACTGTTCTCACTAGGGAACAGAGAAAACAAGAGAATTGTTACTACAGAGAAACTACAGAGAAAACTACAGAGAAAACAAGAGAATTGTTATGAGTTTTGCTAAATGTGAGTTACATTTCCAACTCTTGTCCCCTTTCCTCCCTTCCATTTTTTAAAAAACTTTTTTATTATGACATTTTCAGTTTCTATGCCTTCCATATCAGTAACATTTAGAATAGTATTTCCTTTATCTACCCTCAGGAACCCATTAACTGGAGAGACACACATAATGAAATTATGCAGAAACCTGTATGTCCTAGAGTCTTAACCATGTCTAAAAGAGATGCAAACTTCATCTCTGACACTTATAGGCAGCTCACATTTATTGCTATTGTTGCGTGCTGTCTTGTGGATTCCAACTTATAGGAATGCTATATATACAGTGCAACTGCCCCTAACTTTCTTGAGGGGAGCACATCGCCAGGTCTTTTCTCTTATGGAGCAGCTGGTGGACTCAAACTTTCTGTTAGCAGCCAAGTGCTTAACCATCACTTCACCAGGTCTCCTTAGATCACATTTAGTGGGTGGGAATTATGGATACCAGCATTTGAGGTGGAGAAGAATGTTAAAAGTACCATGGGCTGCCAAAAGAACAAACCACTGTGTGTTGGAAGAAGTACAGCCAGAATACTCCTTGGAAGCCAGGATGGCCAGACTTTGCCTCTTATAGTTCGGACATATTGTCAGAAAGGACCAGTCCCTGGAGAAGGATATCATGTTTGGTAAAGTGGAGGGTCAGAGAAAAAGAAAGGACCCCCCAGCGAGATGGGTTTGCACAGTGGTGACAGCAATGGGCTTAGGTTTAGCAATGATTGTGCGGTTCTGTTTTGCATAGGGTCGTTATAAATTGGTGCTCACTCAATGACACCTGAATTTTGATGATTTTTTCAATATTTGGAATAGCAACATCTTTACTTGGCATCACTGCTACTTAGGTTGTTTGCAAGGATTTCTGACTTTTTTGAAATACCTTCCTTAGTCATTTATTATTGACTCTGGGGGCCCAAGAGTAAAAAGGCAGAGTTCTGGACCATCTATTCCTTAACATCTACCACATTAAATTTTATTGCAACTTATGTCTTCATTTGCTTTCCCCAGACCTCTTATGCCCCTTGGGAGGTCTAAGGACAGAGGAGACTGCTCCACAGGGTTTCCAAGGCTGTAAATCTTTACAGAAGCAGATGGCCACATCTTTCTTCTTTGGAGGATCTGGTGAGTTTGAACCGCCAACATTTCAGTTAGTGGCCCACTTCACCACTGTTCATTGATGGTTCTTGTGGCTGTTAGGTGCTGTAGAGTTAGCTCTGACTCATAGCAACACTATGTACAACAGAACAAAACACAGTGGTCTTGTGCCATTCTCACAATTGTTACTGCTGCCACTGTGAAAATCCATCTCATTGGTGTCTTCCTCTTTTTCACTGACTCTCTAATTTATGGAGCATGATGTTCTTCCCCAGGGACTGGTTCTTAGGAGGGAGAAATTGTTTCTATTACTTGTGAGTTTGGGATTAGATTTGATCGAGGTGATCACATTTTAATTGGGTCTTGAAAAATGAGTAGAAGTTTGCCAGACAAAGAAATGAGATGGAAAGACCTTTAAAACAGTAAGAATGGTCTGCACAAGTATGGGCACATTTTCTGAATTCCTATACCCTTTATCCTACAAACCCTACAAAGTGTTTGTACGTATAAAAGTTTTATTTTCAAGCTTTTAGGAGAAGCTTGGTGATAACTGGTGAAATCTTTTACATTTTGCAGAATAAGAGTTGGCATGTGAATATCTGAATGAAAAAAAAAAGTACTTTACCTAATATTGTCTAATATTTGGAGCCCTGGTGTGGTGCTGTAGGCTAAGCACTGGACCACAAGGTAGGTTTGAACTGAAAGGTCTGTTGTTCAAACACACCTGCTGCTCCTTGGGAACTCTATACAGGGTAGTGATGAGTTGGAACTGACTCAATGGCACTTAACAACAACAACAACAACATCTAATATTTACCAAGATTTTAATAAATCAAGTTGTTTATACCCTCTTCCAGATTATCCTTCAATGAGATTTTATTGATTTTTACTCTTCTGGGATACCAAATAGAGGAATCTGATGTTGTTTTTGTTTTTTGAAGGAAACCGGTAAACTCATTACCCATCAATGTGGAGGCCATGTCTCTCCAATATCTCGTGGCAGGATTGTTGTTGTTGTTGTTAAGTGCCGTCGAGTCGGTTCCGACCCATAGCGACCCTGTACAGGGTTTCCGAGGGTGTAAATCTTTACGGGAGTAGAAAGCCTCATCTTTCTCCCGCGGAGCGGCTGGTAGTTTCGAACCGCTGACCTTAAGGTTCGCAGCCCGATTCGTAACCACTACGCTACCAGAGCTCCTTCCTCGTGGCAGGATAGGGGATGTCATTATCCACTGTCATATCTGGCTCCCAATTTGGGCATTTTCAGAAAACTAGTCTCCTCTGAGAAGTGTTCATCAAAATTACCTCATACTGAGAAACCCCAAGACCATCTTGTCTCAGAAATGTGTTCACTGCCAATTTTAGTTCAAGATAAAAATTATACCAAAACATCTATGAGGTTATCAAAGATAGGGCAAGTCACCTTGAATGAAGGAACTTACTTAAAACTGGAAAGAACTTTCTTTTATTCCAACTCCCTCATTAGCAGTGTTGAGGAGACCGAGGCCTCAGGACGCTCTGAGCCTGGAGGCAGAGCCCTGGTCAGAAGCAGCTGCAGAAGCCTGGGAATGGAGAAGGAGGGCGCTGAGTCTTTTTGGGGAACTGATCCCTTGCAAGCAGCATTTGATGTACTTCCTCTTTTCCTCACACTCCACCCCCACCCCGCCCCCATGTCACCTCTCTCACAGTCTTTCATCTTCTCTCCCTCAGTAGGGTTACGCTTCAGTTACCCAAAGGTGGGGACATTTCCTGATGCATTCGCAACACTGAGTAGTTGTTTCAGGAGAACGTTCTGAGCAGCAGGCCAAGAAAGTCAGTGAACACCTGGGCTAGTTGGGCCTCCCTGCCAGGGGAGACACCCCTCCACACCCCTCCCAGCCTCGGAGTCTCCAGGCAGCGCTCTCAGCCTTCTGGCTTCCCCCGACCATGTCCCTGGCTGAGGCCATCAGCCTGTGGAATGAAGGCGTGCTGGCGGCTGACAAGAAAGACTGGAAGGGCGCTCTGGATGCCTTCGCTGCTGTCCAGGACCCCCACTCCAGAATTTGCTTCAACATCGGCTGCATGCATACCATCCTGGAAAACCTGCCAGAGGCGGAGAAGGTGAGCACAGGGGCTCTCTCCCCTGGGCCTCCTCTGGACCTTTGTTTAATTAAGATTCTCAACCCTGACTGCACTTTAGAACCCTCTGGGGAGTTTTACTGGAACATAAGAGGCCTGATCCCACCTCCAGAGATTCTGATGTAATTGGTTGGGGTGGCACCTAAGCATTCATAGCTTTTAAAAGCTCCCCAGATACTTCTAATGTACTACCAGGGTTGAGAACCATCAGTCTCAGAATATGCTCTCCTCTCCTTATACCTAAGCACATTCAAACCATTCCTTAATCATTCTTTAACACTTTCCTGTAGCATCACCTTCTATTTCCTTCTGTGAACTCCTGCTGGGCATGGGGGCTCCTGAGCACCTGATAATAAGGTGCCTCATAGCTCACCAAGAGTTTCAGGTTTGTCCGCCTTGACTGCCCAATAGACTGAGGGGAGGCACGATAAAAAATAGGTTTCATCTCAAGTGACAATTCTGATCAGTAGTGTGTAACACTCTTAAGGATTCCAAGGCTGCCAGAAGGAAATCATACAATGATTGATTTAAGATGTCTGCCAAGGGCATTGTGTAGGTTGTTGCTGTATATACAACAAAACAAAATTGTCCAGTCCTCTGCCATTCTCACAGTGTTTGAGGCTATGGCAACTGTGTCAATCCATTTCACTGTGAGCCTTCCTCTTTTCCTCTTCCCTTCTACTTAACAAGCATAATGTCCTTCTCATGGAACTGGTCCCCCCAATAACATATCCTAAGTACTATGCGGCATTGTCTTGCCATCCTTTCTTACATGGAACTTTCTGGCTACACTTCTTCCTACACAGAATTATTCATTCTTCTGGCAGTCCCTGGTATAAATTCTTCTTTAATCTTCCTTATTCATTGTCCAACTTTCACATGCATATGAGGCTATTGAAAATACCATAGCTTGGGTCAGGTGTACCTTAACCCTCAAAGTGATACCTTTGCCTTTGAATACTTTAAAGAGGTCTTTTCAGCAGATTTGTCTAATGCAGCATATTGTTTGATTTCTTCACTGCTGCTTCCATGCGCCTTGATTGATGGTAGGTACAAGTAAAATGAAATCATTGGTAACATCAATCTTTTCTTCATTTATCTTAATGTTCATTATTATTTCATTCTTGAGGATTTTTGTTAGGGTGTAATGCATACCGAATGAAGGCTATAGTCTTTAAAAATATTTTTATTCTTCAAATTCATTGGTGTCAATAATCACTATTTGGATTAATCACTGTAAGGTGTCAAGGATATGAGTTTATACAAGATCTAGGATAAATCCCAGCTCTGCCTCTCCCCAGACCTTTGGTCTCAGACATTATGAGTTCCATGCAAGAATTAGTGACACCAACCAGTCAGTTGCTCTCAATTGAATCCAATTCGTGGTGCCCCCGCATGTGTCAGAGTGGCACTGTGCTCCGTAGCATTGTCAATAGCTGATTTTTTAGAAGTGGTTCACCAGGTCTTTCTTCCAAGGTACCTCTTGGGTACATTCAAACCACCAGTGTTTTAGTTAGTAGCCAAACATGTTAACTGTTTATACCATAAGCCATGAACTGTATAACTTCATACCACTGTATAAATGTTAGTTGTTGTTGTTGTTGTTAACCTTTCACTGCCAGTCTTTGCAAGAGAGTATTGACAAATGACTGGTTCATGGTTCTCCTAAAAGAGCCTGTTCCTCCCAGAGCCACCCTCATTAGCAGGTGAATATGCCTCAGCCACATGCCTTCTAACAGGAAGAGAGAAACAGCTGAAATGCTCTCCAGCCTGACAAGTAGGTCATTGCCTCCAGATGCCAGATATGCAAGCAGGAACGGGAGAAGTCCCCCACCTCTTCCAGTGGAGGGCGGACCGCAGCCTCCACCCCTTCAGGGACCTTCTGAAGGGCTGAGCAAACAGCACATGATTCTGAGGGTGAAGACAAAAGGCACATTGTTGGGGAGAAGGGATTGGCAAAGGACAGCATCTGGTCTGGGAGCAGCTGTGCCAGCTGCAATTGTGTACTCCCGAGTACTGGGGGTCCTTGGAGGGCTGTACAGCTTACCACTCACTGTTCAGCTCACCTACTCAGATGCCTTCTCACTCACTGGCCAAATATCTCTTTGAGCTCTTCTGATTATGGCCTTCTCATTCTTTCTGCCCTTCCTGGTTTCCTGTGAGAGTCACTACTACTAGCATTTTCTATGCATTCTCTCAAGGTCGGTAGTTCAAATTCACCAGTCACTCCTTGGAAATCCTATAAAGGGTCGTTCTGAGTTGGAACCGACTTGATGGCACTTAACAACAACAATCTTGAGAAGCAGATATTAATATCCCCATTTTTCAGAGAAAAAAAATAAGGCTCCAGGAGATTAGGAAATTTGCTGCATGCCAGGATGCTTTTGAATTATGGTGTTGGAGGAGAATATTGAAAGTGCCATGGGCTGCCAAAAGAACCAACAGATCTATGTTGGAATAAGTGCAGCCAGAGTGCTCCTTGGAGGCCAGGATGGTCAAACTTGGTCTCTCATACTTTGGACATGTTGTCAGGAGGGACCAGTCACTAGAGAAGGATATCATGTTTGGTAGGGTGGAGGGTCAGAGAAAAAGAGGAAGACCCCCAGTGAGATGAACTGGCAAAGTGGCAGCATCAGTGTGCTCAAGCATGGCAACAATTATGAGGTTGGCCCAGGATCGGGCAGTGTTTCATTCTATGGCACCTAACAACAACAACAGGCACCATTCTCACATCCCTTTTACCAGTGTCGCACAGGTTAACTTTTGCTTACTTACTAATCTGTGATGAACAAGTTCATAGTTTTCAACACCTCAGGAACTCTGCTTCTAGGTATAGTTGGCATCTGTTTCTCTCCCAACCCCACAACACTTTCCCACAGAATCAAAGCCTCCTCAACTTTATAATTCCTGATAACAGGGATGGAGTATTCGGTAAGCAAGGTAAGCATGGGCTTACTTACTTAAGCTGACTTACTAACTTGTAGTGAATAGTTTCCCATGGTTTTCACCACATGTGAACATGTTCACTACAGATTAGTAAGTAAACACAAGTAAGCCTGTGCTTCCTTGGCATATTGGGTAAGCCTTGAGTCATGCTCTCTGGGTCATCTCACAGCCCCTGACTGCTTCGTACTGTCCTTGTCCTCTCAGGCCTTTACCAAGAGCATTAATCGAGACAAGCACTTGGCGGTGGCTTACTTCCAACGAGGGATGCTCTACTACCGGACAGAGAAGTAAGTGGTATACTATTGCACAAGTGTGGAAAGTTTCCAGAGAAACCGTGCGTGATCCCAGGGCTGCTGACTTTGTGTTTCAGAAGTATCTTCCCAGCCTCTGTCAGGAAGCCTGGTAGGACTTCTTTGGACAGTTATGCAATAAGTCAGCACAAGACCGAGTCCTGGCTGGTGAGGGAAGGCAGGCCTGCCACCCTTTTTACAAGCCAGCTATCTCATAGCTCAGAGTCCTGGGGTTGTGCAAATGGCTAATGCACTTAGCTGATAAGAAAAGGTTGGAAGTATGAGTTCATCCAGAGGTGACTCAGAAGAAAGTCCTGGTGATCAGCTTCTGAAAGATCACAGCCATTGGACATCCCATAGCACACAGCTCTACTCTGAAGCACATGGGGTTGCCATGAGTTGGAATCGACTCAACGGGAAATGGCTATTGGTGTCATAGTTCACAAGGATCCTAGGTAACCACCACAGGCCTAGTATTCAGCTGGTCTAACCCATTCAGTAGCATCCCCTGAAGGGTCACCACCTGCGCAGTGCTGGTTGTGGATACTTTGGTCATCATGTGAGCACTACACTGAGGGACGGAGCTATGATAGAATGCAAACTACCAGGAACCTTGCTAACACTGTTGAGCTGTACACTTAAAACTGGCAAATGTCATGCTCTCGACCACGATAAAGAGAGCAGTCCAGTCATGTGACAATAAGCATATTGCAGAAAAGTAAAACAAAAATACCCGGCTTAATTCCAGCAAAATCTGTTACCATTACTTGATATCACACAACAACAACATAGCACAATCCCATGTATGTTTCACAGAATCAAGTTTGGAAGGCCATAGACCAAAATGTTATCAGTAGTTTTCTCCAATTGTTGGAATTGTAGAGATTTCGGTTTTCTTCTCTTGGCTTATCTGTACATAGTTTTTAAAATATAGTTTTTGAAATATTTGAAAACAACATGAATTAATTTCTTTTTAAAAAGTAAATATGCATAGTAAAAGAAAATTGCAATTCCCACCCCAACAATAACAAATAGGAAAATCCTAATCACAAATATGCAAACAACAAAGGGAAAAATATTCTAAGCATCAATTTAAAATGTCTCAGGAGAAGGGAAACTGGCTCTTTGTAGAATTTGTTTTGCCAGTGTGCAGAGGTGGGAAAAATCAACTAAGGCTGAAGAAGAACTTTCTAACGGTGAAAATAGTCAAACACAGAGCAAGTGAGGGTGCAACAGGTGAGGCTGAACATTGATAGGCAGAGGGAACACTGCAGATGACTGTCTGTCACTGGGCTCTGAATCTATGCAATCTTGAAAGATCTTAATCTTAGAGCTTGGTCAAAATAGCCTATAAAAGGCATAGGTACTCAACTGTTGCTAGGGGCAACTGTAAGATGCTCAGAAGAGTTGCAAGACATAGATGTATCAGTTACCTGAATCAGTAAGAGTAGAACTGAAGTCTTCCCAAAATAAAAACAACTGATGAAGACACAGAGGTAGTGTGGGGTATACATCCCATGATTGCAGTGAGGATAAACAGTATTTGCATTGTACGAGCGTCTAACCTGCCTCTACCTGTCCTTCTCCTCCCTACCCTTCCCCTCAACATTTTCTTTAGATGTATAAAAAATGCAGGGGGACCAGAGCTCAAATCTGCCAGCTGATCTTAAATCTCAAAAGACAAGTTCTAAGGTCTTTCTTTTAATTAGCTCGATCTAACAACCTGTAATGATGAGAGACAACTCCCTAGGTATTTTATTTGTCCAAAAGCATCAGAGACTGGGAGACTAGAAGCCTAAGATGTTGAATGAGTTCAAAAGAAGCTTTTGAGAAAGAACAAACAAGATGGTGGAGAAGGTGGAAGTGCAGTAAGGAGCTCTATCAGCAACAACACAGAATACCGGACCAAGCAGACTCAGGGGATGGTGTCAGAACTCTGAACCACATATAAAGGAATAT